AACTGGATCCAGCATCGAGGCGTATACTGGGTCCCACAGGAGGTAAGCACTGAAGAGCCTCCTGAAACTTCGCAGGGGAAATCCGAGAGGAAGAAAACCTCTTGAAGGTTGAATCTGAGAGAAGAGCCCCACCCAACTCAAACTCTCCCTAGAAAACCAGCATTGAATGTAATGAAACGCCATTTTCTGGACGAGTTCCAGAGGCTCCCTGGCATCCCACCTTTTGTCTTTAGCGCTTTTTGACATCCAGCCTAAGAGCTGACGGTTGGGTCGCTGGCAGGTGGGTCTTGGGCTCCCCCTTCCCCCTCCCGGGGAGGGTGGGAAGGTTGTGCAGACAGCAGCACAGCGACATGATGATGACATGCTAGTTTGCTAATTTTCGTTTGGAGAGTTCTGTCCACCTGTTCGACTTTCGGTCGCAATAGTTTTACCAGAATAGGGGTTTGTTTTGGGGAGCCTACCTTTCTCGGTTGATGGCAGACATAGAAAGCTCCCAACCACAGGGGGACAGGGGAGGCATCTCTATAGGCCATTGCTCCTCATACCTCTCTAGAGGGGGCCAGGTTCTGGCTCGTGGTCCCCGGTAGGCAAGAACTCCATGCATTGACTGATGCCAGAAAGATATACATATCCATTCAGCCTGGATAGATCCGGGTAGGCTGCTCCATTTAAAACATCGAATATCATGTTGATGTTTTTCGGTGGTAGAACGGGTTAATTTGATTTCCATTATTGTCAATGGGGACATTCATTTTGTATGACGTCCGTTTCACATGACCATCACAGCGCCGGAACGGATTAAATTCGTTACTCGAGGTACCACTGTATTTGGAATCATTATGTTCTTGATCAATTCATCATTATTGGTGAAAATGAGGTCTAGTGTGTTCTTGCTAGTTGGTTCTGGCAAACCTGTCACATACATTTGTAGCAGGTCATTTGCATGTGCCTGTTCATTTAGGCTACTTCCTGGTATTCTTTCTGATATAACTGTGTTAGCTAGGTTCTTCCATTTCAGGTGCCGTAGGTTGAAGTCCCCAAGCAGGATGATGATCGGGGCTGGATTTGTAAGGTTTTCGAAGCAGTGTTCTATTTTCATTAGTTGGTCTTTAAACTGCTGATGATTTGCCTCCGGTGACTTGTATACAAGGACAATAACTTCATTTAAGATCTCTATTTTGATAATCAGTACTTCCACCATATCATTTGTGGTGTTTAGCAGCTCAGCACAGATGAGTGTGCCTTTGATGTAGAGGCTGACCCCACCCTGAAGCCTGTGTTTCCTGTTACATCTGAAAAGATTGTACTCCAAAATCCATATTCCACCATCATGGTAGTCCTTGGTGTGAGTTTCCGTTAGGGCTAAAAGACTACATTTATTTATAAATGATGTTATGTTTGTGGAAGTGCTGGATGCTTTACTTGGTGTTACTATCTGAGGCTCTGGTAAGGAGGTCACTGTGTTTGCGTCCTTCAGCATTTGACTGAGTCGGTGGTAGAATTTCGACATTTTTAGCCATTTTTCATTCTTATTTTTAGTCAAGAACTCCAGGCAAGCACACCACAAGTGCAGGAACAGTCATACAAGACAAAAAAAATCATAGAACAGGAAATTGAGGCGTGAGGTGACGTCTGACTACCATCACCATCAGTCAAGAAATGAGGGGTGAGGAGCCCGGCTGACTCGGCTGTCTCCCCCTCCCACTAGGGGGGGGGGGAGGAGTCCTAGTTGGATGAAGTGTTGTTTGATTTTTTTTTCTGGAAGAGTTCTTGTGCTCTTTGTAGGACATAGGTTGCAATTTTAACCACACTGGTCTGTTTTGTTTTGCCTACCTTTATGGGTTCCTTCCCTGGTCGATGGCAAGAATTATATATTTTATATGTAAAGTGTTTATAGGCCATTGCTCCCTGCACCTCTCTGAAGGGGGCCAGGTTCTGACGCTGGTCCCCAGTAGGCAACAAAAACTCTGCGACTGATGGCCCTAAATAGGATAACACTATATCAGTAGGATAGCTTCAGGAAGCCGACAGGGTTTCCCACAGAAATTGTGTTTAGATAGGATGTGGATTTAGAATGTGGAGTGACATAGTATTTAAATTTGTGGATGTCATTATTTATAATGAAGTTTACTTCTTTTCTATTTAAGGCAATGAATCGGTCTCTACCCAATGTTATTATGGGCGGCTTTGGCACCTCTTCAACTGGCTCTGGAAAACCAATGGAGATCACAGGCACACATACAGAAACTAATGTTGATCAGACAGTAGAGATGATGACCAATGCCAAGAACATTATCATTGTCCCGGGTAAGACAAACTTGACTATCAAATATATACATTGTTTTGTTTTTGGCAATGAAGAACATATGTTACCTATTGTAGAAAAATTATTAACAGTTAGCACTGGTTAAATTTTTAATATTAAGCTATGATCATGTTTAATTCTCCAAGCCTAATAATATTGTGTATTAATACTATTGACTACTTGCAGGCTATGGGTTGTGTGTGGCAAAGGCCCAATATCCAATTGCAGAAATGATTGATATTTTAAGAAAGAAGGGTAAGAATGTTAGGTTTGGCATCCATCCTGTGGCTGGCCGCATGCCTGGACAGCTCAATGTTCTTCTGGCAGAGGCTGGGGTACCATATGATGTGGTGCTGGAGATGGACGAGATCAATGATGACTTCCCTGAAACAGATCTGGTACTTGTCATTGGTGCAAATGACACTGTCAATTCGGCTGCTGAAGATGACCCGAATTCCATCATTGCTGGTATGCCAGTCTTACGTGTATGGCTTTCTAATCAGGTGAGACCCATGGTGAAACTGGAGAATGAGTTTAATATTGTAAGGTATGAAAAGAAAAGAGGTAGTGATGAAGGTTGTTGGGAGGCAGAAAGTGGTTGTGGGTTAGCCAAAGGTTGAAAGCTGGAGAGGGGCTAGCAGGAGGAGGAGGAGGCGGCGGCTGAGAGGCAGATTGGGACAGGAATGCAGGGAGGGGCTGAAAAGCAGAGGTGGGCTAAGAGGAAATGGGCATAAAGTAAGATAAGTGGTGGGAGGCAGAGGGGCAGTGAGTCCAAAAGTGGGGAAAGAGTAAGAGGAGAGTTGAGAGGCAGGAGGGTTGAGTGGTAGCCAGTAGAGGTGCCAATGAAGAGTAGAGGTGCCATAGGCACAACCAGAGAACACTGTATAAATATCAAAAGAATATCAAACCTGTTCAGTATCTTCACATCAAGTATAAGAATTACAGGAATTGTCAGAAAAAAAGGATTTAAACAAAAAAATATATAATTTTTTGTAAAAAGTACCAGACCAACCAGGCTGAAGTGAATAAGTGGGTCTGCAGGTCACTTCAGGCAACAGTCTATTGGACTAAGCTATCACAAGTCAAATCACATAAATTTATTTATATTTTCCCATGATCAAGATCAGCTTCCTCAGGGCTCAGGTAAACATCTTTAAAAAAAAATCGTGGTCCACATTCCTGGGTGTGAGAGCCTCAGTAGTGAGTGAGCAACCAAGGCCGGCCCACACAGCATGAGCTGACAGCACTGCTGTTCAGCATGTGACCACAGCATCGCCTAATAATGTCAAAATATATATGACTTGTTTTATTTAGCCATGATAGTATTACAGAAGAGCTTGAGTGTGATAATGACTGTGTACAATGTTCAAATATTAGTGATTCAATGCTGTTCACAATGTTCACAGCGCTAGCCACAGCACCACAGCATTATTTCCTCCATCTAGGAATCTTCAAACAACTTCTTCGGTTCCTTTACAAAATAAATTTGTGGTCAATTATGTATTTACAGGAATTAGTGACCAGGATTGTGATAACAGCAGGATTGTGGTGATAATAAGCACTGGGCGTAGTATTGTGGGAGGAGTAATTGTGGTGAGGGAGCGAGGGAGCAAGAGTATGCCTCCTCAAACACCCGGGCGTCAAAACAAAAGATCGAAAGAATGAGCAAAACATGCAAAAGGTCGGCGGGAAATGACAATTTGAAAGGAGAAGAGGGGGGAGGGGGGAAGAAAAATGAAAACATGAGGAAAAGGAAAGGATGTCTGGCACAATTGGTTAAGACAGTAGTAGGAGCATAAGGCTGCAAAAGGACAAAAGACTGATCCATGGAGCATCACACTCCGGCAGCCGCCCTCCAAGCCCCCTGACGGCGTCAACGGGCCAGACAGGGAGGGGGCATGTAACTCTGAATCCTCCCTGATTGACTGTTTGTCGACAATGAACATTAGTGGTGCAAGAACTGAACCTTGTGGTATACTGGTAGTGACATTTCTTCAGTCTGACACCTGATCTCTGATCACTGCTCTCATTTGTCTCAGAAATTTGTTCATCCAAGTGAGTCAAAGGCCTTTTCTGGGGGGAGCCCTGTCGGCTCCCCGGAGCTATCCCAGGCTGATATGCTGATGTCAGACTTTGGCATCAGTCATGTGTATGGAGTTCTTAGGCCTACCGGGGACCACAGCCAGAACCGGGCCCCCTCAGAGAGGCAAGGGGAGCAATGGCCTATAGAAGCCCCCGTGTGGTTGGAAGCATTCTATGTCTGCCATCGACCGGAACAGGCACCCAGAAAGGTAAGCGCCTCAAAACAAACCCCTATTCTGGTTAAAATTGCTACCAAAAGCCGAACTAGTATATACAACTCCCCAACCGAAAACAAGCAAACTAGTGTGACGTCACACACCGCCGCGCCGCTGTCTGCGCAGCTCTCCCCTCCCCGGGAGGCGGAAGGGGGAGCCCCATACCCCCCACGCCGGCTACCCACACCTCAGTTCTTGAGGCTCGTGCTATAGGTGATGGTCGTGTGCTCTGGCTCCGGTGTCGCTACTGCACTGTGCTTTGCGTGTGGTGTTGGTTTTGTGGGTGCGAGAGCCAAGAGTTATCTTCAGTACTCGGGCTGCATGCGCCTAGGGCTGCCTTCCCTAGGTGCCCTTGGGGCTTGGGGCCACCTTCCACAGGCTCCTCGGGGTTTTTGCTGGTCCGTTTTACCTTTCGGTTTTTCGACCGCCTGTTGGGCTCTTGGGTGTTCTGTTCTCCCTTGTTACCGGCAGGTATCTTGAGGTTATCTTGAGATGATTTCGGGGCTTTTTAGTGTCCCCGTGGCCCGGTCCTCGACCAGGCCTCCACCCCCAGGAAGTAGCCCGTGACAGCTGACTGACTCCCAGGTACCTATTTACTGCTAGGTAACAGGGGCATTCAGGGTGAAAGAAACTTCGCCCATTTATTTCTGCCTCGTGCGGGAATCGAACCCGCGCCACAGAATTAAGAGTCCTGCGCGCTATCCACCAGGCTACGAGGCCCCATACCAGGCTACGAGGCTCCATACCAGGCTACGAGGCCCCTACGAGGTAAGAGGCAGTTTGCACTGGTAGGGGCGCAGGGTGCTGCTCAGCTTGTATTCCCGACATCGCGGCCGGCTCTGTTCCTTGGGGTTCGCTGTCCTCTTGCGGGGTTTTGTTTTTCTTTTTGCTTTTGCCTGGTGGGGGTTCTGTCATTTTATTCAGTTTGTTTTTGCCCTTCCACGGTTCTCCTCGGTGGCGCCCCCTAGGTCCCCGTGAGTGTACACGTCCCTGGGGTTCAGCTATAGAAGTTTGCTTGGTAGTTTTGGGCGCCGGTTTGCAGCACCCTGCCTGGGACTACCTGAGCGCGAGTCCTCTTAAAGTAAACGCTCAGGACCCTGGGAATCCCCTAGGGGGCGCGTGGGTCCGATGGATGTGACCCCGGAGTCCCCACTCGCTGTGTGCGAGTTTGAGGGTTGCTCGGTCCCCTTGTCTCAGGGTGACCCTCATTGTTTTTGCCTCTGCCACGCTGCCTGTTGGGTCAGTGATACTTTCGACCCTGAGTCCTGTGAGTGTTGCTGCTTGCTGGTGACTCAATTTACCCAATCTTCTGATGATTCTATTCGGGTACAGGCGGCGCGTGCGTTGCAGTCTAGGTTTCGTCTGTTGCAATGCGCTTGGTTGGTTGCTCACCCGTTGGCAGAGCCTTCGTCAGACAAGGTCTACTCCACCCGAGCTGTAGACGGCAGTTGCCACAAATATATTATTACCTAATTATTTCAATGTCTCTGATTTTTTCTTAGTTCTTTTGCAGTAATATTATTCCATACAGTGAATTGTGGTATATTTATATAATAAAATGTGTGAACCATCGCTGTACTCAAAATTATGGTGTGCATATTAGTGATTCAGTTATTATGTTCATAAAAAATAAACAAATAGTTTTGCTGTTGTTACACTATATACACAGGTTATATATAAGTATCTGCATGTTTTGTTCACCATAACGAACTACTAAGTTGGTCTTGTGAGTCAAAAAGCAACGAGGAGTGACCGCCACATACTCGTTGCCACTCCCTCCCTCAACAACACCTCACTCACCCTCATTCTCCTCCCACAATACTGTTTTTGCATTTATTCACTATACACAGACATTATATATAGGTATTTACATGTTTTGTTCACCATAACTGTACATCGAAGCTTGTATGATGAGTAAAGGCACAAAGACGTAGCTATTCTATACCTACTCTGGGCTTGGGGAGTAGAAGAACTCCCAGAACCCCATCAACCAGGTAACCAGGTATTCACACAGTCAGCTGGTGACGGCCGCCCTCAAGGCCAGATGCACTAATATTTCTCCAACAATATTGTTTGTGGTGTTATTACTCTACATACACACATTATATATACCTGTTTTATTCAACATACCTGTACAAATAAGCTGGTATGGTGCCCAAAGACCATAGTGGCTACCAGTAAACAACATGACAAGTCGTGCAGACGACGCATCTCCCTCACCAAAATGGCGGCTCCCAACCTACTCCCCTTGCTGTTATCTCACACTATACACACGTTATATATAAATATCTACATTTATGTTCACCATAGCAAACCACTAAGCTGGTATGGTGAGTGCAGTCAATAAAAGGTGGCCACAGAGTCAGAAGACGATGCCGCCACCCTCCCTCCCACAGCCTTACTCCTCCCTTCATGGAGCACAGCGCTAAATATCACCACAATCCTGCTATTATCAGAATCCTGGTCAGTTTTATCACAGTCAGGGGTCTTCTATAATACTATCATCGCTAACTAATAGCAGTATCATGTATATTATGGCATTTGTAGGCGATGCTGCAGTCAAAAGCTGAACAGCGGTGCTGTGAGCTCGTGCTGCGTGAGCCAGCCTTGGTGGCTTGCTCAATACTGATGCTCTAACACCCAAGAATGTTGGCCTGGATTTTTTTTCTAGGTGGCATCTGGCAACTATTGGTCGTGGCTGTACTATAGCTGCCCCTATCCCAGGCGGGGTGTTTAAATTATAGCGCTAGACATGAAAGCATATATATATGATATGCGCGGTTTAAGGGTTAAGCTCAATTGCTATTAAGTTTTAGTCTTTTTTTTTTTTTCCCCACCTCACTTTGCCCGAAATGCTATGCGTACTAGTGGCTTTAGGTATTGTATGTACAGTACTACCTCTACCTTTAAATCAAACAGAATGTTTGTACTGTAACTCCTGCAACTATGTATGTACTTTTCCTAAATAAATTATTACTATTATTATTATTATTATTATTATTATTATTATTATTATTATTATTATTATTATTATTATTATTATTAACTAAAAATTCATTACTGATAAATTATTTTGTAATGCTGTATCTTATTCATAGGTCATTGTGATGAAGCGCTCGTTGGGTGTTGGGTATGCAGCAGTTGACAACCCTATTTTCTTCAAACAAAATACCAACATGTTGCTTGGAGATGCCAAGAAGACGTGTGATGCTCTCCTTACGAAGCTAAAGGAACATTATGAATAATTGTTGATACAGAGCTAACATTTAGATGATGACTTGATTCACTTTTTTTTTTCTCAACATTACTATAGTATAGTTTGTTTAGTTTGCATTTAAACAAATAGTAATGTAATATTGGTTGCCCACTTTGGCTTTATATAATTTTTATATTGACAGTTCATTATAGTATTTAAAAAATATCCATATGAATTATTTACTAAAATGACCAAAGTTATTCCTTCAGCAGTGTAATTAATTTCAAATGTTGAATAATGATTTCACTGACATGAAAGATGAAGTTTGGCACTGAAGTAATGACAGCATGTATAACATTTTGTAAAATAGTTCTGTATTTTTCTCAGATTTGTAATATTATTGTCTTTGTGTCAAATAATCTGGAGGAAAGAAAAGCATCAGTGTTAGTAAAGCTGATTGTGTTATAACAATGGCAAAAATTACTTGTGCATTGCTACAAGTTAAATGTGTGTATGGAGTCTTAAGTTGAGAATCTATTTTAGCTGATAAAATAAATAATTAAATAAAAGTATGTCTTGTTTTCTTCTAACCTGCTGTATAATATTTAGCAATGTAAAAAATTATTAAACTTATAATTAACTAGATGGGGGGTTCCCGGGGTCTCTCTCCCTCTCCCCTCATCTTCAATCCTCCTCTTCTTCACCTTTCCTCCCCTCTCCTCTATTCTTCACCTTTCCTCCCCTCTCCTCTATTCTTCACATTTCCTCCCCTCTCCTCTATTCTTCACCTTTCCTCCCCTCTCCTCTATTCTTCACCTTTCCTCCCCTCTCCTCTATTCTTCACCTTTCCTTCCCTCTTCCTTTCCCCCCTTTTCTTCATCTTTCCTACCCTTCCCCCCTCCTTATCTTTATTATTTTTTCATTTTACTTCAACTTTTTCATTTATGCCAAATTTACTTTAAATAATAAACATTAACTGGGAATAAATAAACCCAAGACCTCATATATAAGCTGAGAAGAACAGCTAGAAAATGCAAACCTAAACCAGTGTCTTGAGAAAATTAGCTTGGTAGCACTAGAAATATGCTCAAGCCAATATACAATGGTAACCTTTGTTTATGATCATAATCACACACGTTGTCAACCAAAACAAATTTTCCCTTAAGAAATAATGTAAATTGAATTAATCTGTTCCACACCCCCAAAAATGTTAACTTAAAAATACATTTTATACTGAATAACACTTATTTTGTACTAGCTACAATACAGTTCTGAATGTGTATCTTAATTTGAATGAGGACTAGGGGATTTCTTGTAGGAGCTCTAAGGGATTAAGAGTAGAATTTATAGGGGAATATCTTGGGGATTTCTAGGTGAATTTCCAGGATTTCTAGTAGGATTCCTAGTATGATTTATGCGGGATTTTTAGTAGGATTTCTGGTAAGATTTCTAGAGGGTTTCTAGAATTTATAGGGGGATTTCTAGTAGGATTTATATTGGGATTTCTAGGGAACTTTTAAGGGACCTTTTAGGGAAATTTCTAGTAGGATTCCTAGTAGGATATCTAGTAGGATTTCCATTAGGATTTTCAAGAGGCTTTCTAATAGGATTTCAAGTAGGACCTAACCTAACCTAAATATATGGAGAGTACAAGAACTCCAGACTCCCCAGGTGTGCTCCAGGTATCATCACCACATCACGTGTGTGTGTGTGTGGTGTATATATATGTATATATATATATATATATATATATATATATATATATATATATATATATATATATATATATATATATATATATATATATATATGTCACGAAAATAAACACGTGATTAAGAATGTGACAATGTCAGACCACGGAGGAAAAATGAAACAGGAAATTTCCTTAAGTACTTTCGTATATTAAATACATCTTCAGAAGGTCCTTCTGAAGATGTATTTAATATACGAAAGTACTTAAGGAAATTTCCTGTTTCATTTTTCCTCCGTGGTCTGACATTGTCACATTCTTAATCACGTGTTTATTTTCGTGACATATATATATATATATATATATATATATATATTATATATATATATGTCACGAAAATAAACACGTGATTAAGAATGTGACAATGTCAGACCACGGAGGAAAAATGAAACAGGAAATTTTCCTTAAGTACTTTCGTATATTAAATACATCTTCAGAAGGACCTTCTGAAG